GGGCGTTTTGTTGTCTGTCTCTTGACACATGGCAATAATTCGTAGACCGCACACAAATATAGCTATTAGCCGTTGATATATTTGTTATAGTTTTAAACGTTCACGTAATTACTTCATAAACGTTTTAAATATATAAATAGAATATCCTAATAGAGTATTGAAAGTTTTTTATTCATGTGTTACGTATAGTTCATCTTAAAATAAATCATAGTCACAGCTTCACTATTAAAAGGCCATAATCCCTCCATAAATACAAACCCTCGCTCATATGTCTTTATTCCACTAATAACAGTTTAAGCAATTATGTGACAGGAGGAAGTGTTTTCTGTATCCCCGTAGGGATACATTATTGCCTGATAGTGATTTATATACGAAGACGGTATTTGATGATGTGATAAACGATCTTAGGAACGGAATTCAACGCTTTTGATATATTTATTGACATTTATATATAATAAGATTTGGTTGAAAAAAAATACTTTGAAGAATCTATGTATATCGTGAAACAAGACGGCATTTCAAGTGGTTTCTTAAAAGGGACTCTAATGGTTTGTTTTGACTACTCAGGTTTGAAGAGGTGGTAAAAAAATTATCGGATCCACTGAAACTTCAAAGTATCCGAACCAAAACACTCAAAGTATAGAGAGAGCATAAAAATCGTATTATACAATAAAAGATGGATACAAATTATAAATGTCATATATGTAAATGTAAAATAAGCAGTAATTCTACTCGACAACGACTGCATTTGTAAGAAAATATACAACAAACATATTATTACAGTTACAACTAAAACTAGCTCTAAACGGTCCGATGAAAACTATTCATTAGTATTACAAGACAGTACATTACTGTATGCGAGCTTCGGTAACGATAAACATCGGTAGTTACACTGTCACGGTGATGCACTAACTGCCGCTCTAAACCACGCGTGCACGGTTTTTGTTGCGTGCGTTCTTTTTTCAAATCTAGGAATGCTCTGACGCGATCGTTTTGAATTTCGAACTCCGAATCCTGGTACACCCTCAATATGGCGCCATTAATTTATGAGTTCGGATATCCACTCTAGCATTTTGGCGCCGGTTTTTATCTTATCTGTCTGCGAATGTGGAACTAAGCTTTTTTATATGAGTAACTTTGTTTGTATGTAATAGTTTACATTTTATAAAGTAAATCAACCACCATAAAATATGAATGTACCTGAATTGTCGGATCATTGAACGATTATTACAAAAAAAAAAAAAACAATTGAATTGTAACACCACGCCACTGAATCGAATTCTGAATCGTTTGCGGCGTTTAAAAAAATATGAGTATTTTACAAAATGGTTCCTAGGTGGTAGAGATCAACGGGGCGTTAAACCAAAATATTAGCTTGGTACGTGTGAACAGATCGTGAGAATGTGGTTTTGAGATTTAAACTACTGAATTTAAAGTATTTTCATGAAATTTGCCTACCGTTAACATATACAGGGTGACTGGTGAATTACTATCAATATTTAAGGAGGATACTCGGTACATGATTCTCATTCGAATTATGTAAAAAAAATAGGTACTTAATTTTTGACCAAATTTCCGTATAAATAAATAAAGTGTGTACACGTTCCAAGTGTTCCAAGTGTGGACGCGTGCGGCGGCGTGCTGATATAACAACACGCCGCCGCGCGCGTATGTGTGAGTGTGTGTATACCTAATCTGTAGGGTGTTCACACGATGCGTAATTAATTACATAACTTTTGGTTAACTTTACTTAGAAGTTTATTAATATTTATGTTATATTAATTTTTATTTCGTCATATATGGTCGTCAAATATCACGTCCTCAAATATCGATAGTAATTCACCAGTCACCCTGTATATCGAAATTCTATATACAAACAACTTGAGTATACATATGTAAACATTTTAACAGGATACTTATCCTAATTAAGAAGTCGAATGTTCACGAATCATTTCCCAAGTCCCGTACGACACTTGGAGTCAATCGGCCGTGGTACGAAACCAGCCGTTCATGCGACGCCTTTGGTGAAGCCGATCAAATAATACTAATTTAGTATGGAGATGAGCCCAATATAACGTACACTCATCATTTATATGAAATAATTTAGACAACAAAGTCACTTCACTAGCAGTGACGGAAACGATGAGTTACATGACAGTGTTACCAACATTGAAATATTATTTAATAAATTATAGTAACACTTGTATTGTAAACGTCTATTGAAGAACGAATATTTGATTGAAATGGCCATTTTTCTTATATTCAATATTATATGATTGCATTATTATTTAATATTCTGCTCCTTTTAAATTCGAAATTATAACTTCTAACTATCTATTAATATATGGACTTTAATATAACTTATGTTTTATTTAATATTCTTTTTTTTTTGGTAACTAAATTCAGTCTATTTTCCTGTATTCCTCAACCTCAACATGTCTAAAAACCCTAACGAACCCCACGTAGGGATATTTCGCTACGCTTTTTTAAACTTAATGCTTCAAAATTCCACAAAATCGCCCTTTTCTTTGTTAACATTGAACTGGAATCAATTTGTTGGGACTTGGATTGTGCTCCAACTACTAATAACGCTTGATAGAGATCTACCTTATATATATTTAATGGAATTCTCTTGTATTTTGTATTATATGACTTTATTATATATATCTGACCTTATTTACTCTTTATAGGTAAAGACTCGTTTTAAATTTTGTAATATACATTAAACATTATTTAATAATAATAATCAAAGCATATTAAATATTATATAAGAAATTTATGAGGGTAGGAAGATAATTAGATTTTATATACTTTCAAGTAAATTTTTCTTCGCGAAACATTATATGCAGAAAATATTCTTTAGATTTATATATATAGCAGATTTCTGTATAAAAAATATTCAATTAACAATCAAATATAATTTAATCCAGTTAAATCACATTCATTCACATCCGAGCTAATATTACAGACGTGCGTAACGAACTACCAAGACGTTCAGATATCTACAAAACTTTGAAACTAGAAATTGAATATACATTACTGTTACAAACATATAAGAAAATAAAATCATCGATTGACAACCAGCAATGTATAGCAAATGAAATAATAGGTAGCACAAATTGATTTCTACCCTCACGAAAATATACTTTAAAAATATTCATTTAAGGATCACAATCGCATGCATTGAAACAGCTACGTGATGTTATTGAGCAGTTAATTAAGTAAGTCGTGACAAGTTAAAAAGATAACTAAGGGAAATCAATAAGGCGATCTTGACGGCCGAACGAAATCAAGAATTCTACACGACGGTACCTGAATACACGCGGCTTGAACAAGACGTATAGAACATACGGAATCAATACATTGCTTGCATATAATCCCTACTAATATTAAAAATGCGAAAATAACTCTGTCTGTCTGTCTGTCTGTTACGCTTTCACGCCTAAACCACTGAACTGATTTTAATGAAATTTGCTACAGACATAGAGTTGACCTTGAGAAAAAACATAGGATAGTTTTTATCCCAGACTTTTGAAAGGTTCTCTTGGAAACGCGATATAACCGAACTCCACGCGGGCGAAGCTGCGGGCGAAAAGCTAGTATCCTATAACGAACGTTATTTAACGACTAGAGTGAATTTCAATAATAATATTTTGGTGCATTCAACTCTGTCCAATCAAAATGTCGTCGTAATCATTATTTAGGGTTTGAAATGATTTCCTTCAATTAATTGAACATTAGAACGAAACATCAGGTGCCGGCCGTGACTGATTTGTTATTTTTTTTCAACATTTTATAACATTTCCTTAATAATACGAGCATTGCGAATATAATGACAACAAACGGCTAAACTAAAACACATTGTGGCTTAGTTTGACAGCTGATTTGATAATAAAATATACGTTATGACATTATTACAATAACTCAATCGATAAAATTAACAAATTATTTAAACTCTTCTGACATTTATAAATAAATTTGATGTCTTTTAGTACTAATTGAGGTCGGAATCCACTAAGGACGCGATCATAAGATTAATATATACAAACTCCTTTCTGTTTCTCTTTATTCGAATGAATGGAATAAAGGATATAAAAAATCGCGCCAATATTTTTTAATTATAATTACATATATGGTCATCGCTAATATGAATCATAAAATATATTTTTTATAAGACCTTTTCGTGTTCTGGGATTGTCCACATTCTTGTGATATTTTTTTTTAATACATTCGTTGTATGAAACTAATTTGCACTGGTTCGCAAACTGTAAATGATTTATTATTTAATACGTGCTACAATTGTATACAACAAAGGGATCAATCCACGAAACATAGAGTATTAACGACGCTCGTATTAAACTGAGGTTATTTTATTAATATCTGTGGTTTACCGCCATTGTGAGTGATCTCACAATATGGCGGCTTATTCACGATAATTCAATAATATAAAAATATAATTGATTCCAATATTATTTTATTTATTTTTTAACTCAAAATTCAGATCACATTTCCATAAACTCAGCTTGAAGTCATAAACTTAAACATTAACAAGTTAATTACAAAAACAATTAAAATTAAACGACTTAAGTGTAACCGATGTTAGGTATCTATATTAAATAGGGCAGTGCTTTAAAGATAACGACATTTCCATTTCCGTTAGAAATATAATATTACAATATGTAGATATTAATAAGTAAAAAATAATTATCATTATTATTACAATGTAACCACTGATTGCATTTCTAAAAAGATTTTACGAAGTGCCCGTATATTGCTGTTCGCTCGTTAAAACACAGCGAGCCGAAGCTGTTTTTATTGTATACTTTATGGAGCAACATTTTAGCGCTGCGGGCGCTTTATTGCAGTGCCATAGACTAAATAATGTTTTAGTGACTGATAACAAGTCGAATCCACTATCTAGTTTTATTGTTAATTAAATTATTTAACGTGTCAATTGCTGCTATTTGGGTTCATTATATATATATATTATTTTGTTACAGACGGACAATCGAATCACTTGAATCTATTCAATTCGAGACCACAGCCTAAGAAGAAGCGGAAATCTAGAACCGCGTTCACTAATCATCAGATATTTGAGTTGGAAAAACGGTTTTTATACCAGAAGTATTTGTCACCGGCTGACAGAGACGAAATAGCTAGCTCACTGGGACTATCAAACGCACAAGTTATCACTTGGTTTCAAAACCGACGAGCGAAGCTTAAACGTGATATGGAAGAACTTAAAAAAGACGTCGAAAGCGCCAAAGTATTATCCGCACATAAGAGTTTCCTTGAAAACGTCACAGATTTGGGTATTTTGAAGAAAAAAGCTATGAGTATAGGCGCTAGTGAAGAAGCAGCTACTAACTTAGTAGTTAACGCGTCCAAATGAAATAACGCGGCGCGAAATATCGCGCCTGAAGTATTCGAACGACGATTCGATTACTAAGTGATACTGACATTATTAATCGATTAAACATCGATAGTGAATGACATTTGAAGTTAGTTCATTATATCCACTAATATAGTTATAAAACACTATTTTATTTAATATTGTACATAGTTTAGTATGAATTGTAAAAATTATTTAGCTTCGTTCGAATAAATGTGATAGTTTCTATTTAAGTACTTAATAGATTAAATAAATTATTTATTGTCGGTCGTATTTGGTTTCCGAACGCATGTTTTTTTTATAATAATGTTTTTTGTTTTTTTTAAATCGATAACTGAATGTGCAATAGTAATATCTCTACAGCCAGTACGACCGATCTGTATATATAGTTCTTTGTATAGATATAATTATTTTATTTGGTAGCGTTATCGTAAAACTAATTTAATTTTAATTAGTGAGCTGTTACTGATTCGGTTAATTAAATCCATATTAAACACGGTGGATGCAATAAATATTTGTGAGTAATAAACTATGTAAGCGAGCGATCACTTTACATTCTAGAAGTTAATACAAACATATTAAAAATAATTAAATGAAAATTATACTACTGTTATATACAAGTAAAAAAAAAAGCAAAAAAAAAATCTAACATTTGTACATTAATAATAAGTACATACTTATTATTAAAGCTGAATACAATAAATATATGACATAAAAAATATTTAAAAAAATCATCTGACATCGGCTGTATGATATCGACAATTTAATAATTGACGAATTTTTATTTAAAAAAATATATAAGTAGGTTTAATCTGTACCAAGTTAAATATTTTTAAACATTCAAAATTACTGTAAACCACTATTTTATATCAGTTGTGATAACGACTCATTCACGACAAACGATTTATAAACAAATAAATGATTAACAAGTCACGATATTGTTTTACTGAAAAATATATAATGACAGTGACAGGACGCGTCAGAATAATTATATGAGAAAATACGAAAATCATTAGGAAAGAAATAAATTAAAACATAAAAAAATAATTGACAGTATTGCATAAAAATAAAAAAATCTGATTATATTTCTTTAAAGATTTGCTTCAAAATTCATACTTTATAATCTTTTAGTACGTTCTGAAATTACTTGTAAAGTAATTATTATTGCATCTAATATAGATCGGGTCCTTGAGCATTCAAACCGTTCATACATTCACATAGTGATCGCTTGTACACAAACAAACATTAAATATAATATCAAAAACATCAAAACGCATTTATAAAAGAATATTTTCTACACATAAGATGTGCTTCCTTAGTAACTATAATATAAATATAAAAAAAATAAAAAATTTCACCAACACTTAAAAAGCATTGATTTTTCATTAAACAATATATTACTAAGGATACAAATCTAATGTCATATAAATAAGTTAAAAACAACATTGACGTATTTATATATGTAGAAAAAATGTAAACTTAATGTATGAAAAAAATTGTCACCATTTTTTATCTGTTCTAAATTTAAATTTAAATCTGTTTAAATTTTTGACATCTGTGTAGTAAAAAAAATAATTGTATAAATACTACAAAGATCATAGTTATAAACTTTTTATACTTCGTTGAATACCATTATATATTTATATGATAGATTATTATATTGATGTAGATATTCTCTAAAGTTACGTTCCTACTATAGAAACAGCACTCCCGTGCTACAAGATTGTGAATACTTAATGCATGTAAATAAATAAATTTTATGTGTTCTATACTATTGTTTGTTTTAACCCTTGCACCTTCTAGAAACATCTAAAACATAAAAAATATTAAAAACAAAGACGTAATTCCAATAAAACACATACATATTTATATTTGGAATCCGGAAAAAAATAAATTCATTTAATATATTACTTCAACTTGACATTTGACAATTAATTGTATGACAATAGACGATTATTATGAAACACAGATAATAAATAACAAGTAATGATAAATACATTCATCTTATAGAAAAAAACCAACGATTTAAAATGATTTAGAATAAAATATATTGTAATAAAACAGAGACTTAAATTATAATTAAATATGCTTTACGTTTATAATTTATTTACGTTTTGTTTGCTTCCTTTTTTTAACTGTCCTTCTAATTGCTAATAATTCTTTTACTAAGACATTTAGTTCCTACATATTACGTAAGCAGTTAGAATTTATATTCTTGTTTATTTTGAATATTTTGATATTTAAAAATATAGATATATTTATGCAATTGCCTGTCATATTAAAATCTTTGTGTTAGAACGTATATTAAAAGTATAATCCTTCTATATTATTTTACGGCTAAGATGATATGTTTAACCAAAAAAAATATAAAATATTGTTTTAAATAACTTTTTCTGTCACACAATTCAACAGATAATAAAACTTTTTAACACTATTTCTGTCAGATGCACTGTCAGAATATAATATGTAGGTACTTTGTATGCGATGTCCATTCATTGTTGATTGACGTTTGAACTCCGATAGCGGTTGTCTATGGTTTGTTGTTAAGACATAAGTATAGCACTTAACCTTCACTAGACTTATTGGAGAATAAAGATGGCAGAATAGAGAGAGAGAGAGAGAGAGAGAGAGAATATACTTTATTGTACACCACAAACAGTAAATTTTACAAGGGAAAAAAATAATATAATAAAATAAATTGAAATGTACAAAAAGGCGGTCTTATCGCTATACAGCGATTTCCGCCAGACAACCTTCGATTTGGGGAAATTGTGCAGCGAAAAGGTAGGTGGTGCCTAATCCTTATATATACACTAATACATATATAAATAGATACATATAATACATACAAATATACATATATATATAAATATATATACTAATAAATATAAATGAACAATTAGACATATAAATATAAATGAATATAATGCTATATAAGTCGTCTCAAATATTTACGTAAATAATATAGACACAAAAGTTGAATAAATTACAGTAAGTAAAAATAAATAAATAAAAACAAAATAAAATTAACAAATAAAACAAATACTATACAAGAACATAATATAGCGACTAAGTTTCCATAGCCAGATAGTGCTCTTTTACCAACCTCTTAAAAGACAATAGTGTTTGCGCTTGCTTAATGCTAATGGGTAAAGCATTCCACAGTTGGATAGCCTGTACGGTAAAAGACATTTTGAAAAACTTTGTATTATGCACAGGCATCCTCAATGTCAGATTTTCAGCCGACCTCAACCCTTCATTATATAGTCCTAGGAACTCAAATTTTTCCTTTAAATAAGTCGGGGCATTAGCATTAAACAAGACGCAATAAAGAAGCGAGAGAATATGCAGATTCCGGCGAAAGCGAATAGATAGCCACTTGAGTTTAGATCGAAAGTTGGAAACATGGTCATATTTGCGCAAGCCAAATATGAAACGTATAGCAATATTTTGGAGTCGCTCAAGTTTGTTTAGTTGATCCTCGGTCAAATTAAGATAGCTTGCGTCAGCGTAGTCGAGAATAGATAGAAGTAGAGATTGTGCTAACATAATTTTGGTTGGAATAGGAAGGAAATAACGCAGACGCTGTAGAGATTTAATGGAGCCAATAGTTTTCCGACTTAGTTCCTTAATATGGCAGTTCCACGATAGAGTAGTATCTAAATGTATACCGAGATTTTTAACATTTTCGCTATAAGGTATTACAGTATTATCAAATTTTATGGTAGGCAAATCAGACCATACCACTCTCGAAACCAAGCTCTGACTGCCAATAATAATGGCCTGAGACTTAGAGGGGTTCACCTTGAGACCGTGAGACTTGCTCCAATGGCAGATCTCTTCCAAGTCATTATTAATGGCAGAAATTGCAAGATGTAGGTTCTCTAGAGTGGACTGGCGATAAATCTGTATATCGTCTGCATACATGTGAAAGAGAGAAGTGATTTTAGATGTTATAGAATTAATAAACAGTGAAAAGAGTAAAGGTGACAAGACGCCGCCTTGAGGAACGCCGGATTTTACAACACTCCATGACGAGACAGTCTCATCAATACGGACACGTTGCCGGCGCCCTCGTAGGTAACTGCGAAACCAATCAATAACTGATGGAGATATGTTAACAGAACGTAGCCGACCTAACAGTATATCATAGTCGACAGTGTTAAAAGCATTGCTAAAGTCCAGCAAAGTCATAACTGTTAGGTGCTTATTGTCCATACCCCATCGAATGTCGTCAGTTACTTTCACCAGCGCAGTAGCCGTACTATGACCAGGACGGAAACCGGACTGTAAGGGATTTAGGATATGGAATTGATTAAGGAATAGACTAAGCTGGTGATGGACTAGCTTCTCAAGAACTTTCGAGAGGAAAGGTAGAATGGAGATTGGGCGAAAGTCGGAACAAGTGCTGGGGTTAGCCTTTTTTGGTAATGGGATAATTTGAGCATATTTCCATGCATCAGGGAATTCGCAGGTAATAACGGAATGGTTTAGGATATGAGTTAAAACAGGGATAATGAAGTCAATGATAGGTAATATCATACTACGGCTAATACTATCGGTGCCGACAGCATTGGATGTGATAGACAATATGTTCCTTTTAACATCACATTCAGTAAATTGATTTAATATAAACGGTGGATATTTAGGAGTTGTCATTAAAGAAAGAGTATCAAGCGTAGATTTTTTATCAGTGCTATCCATTACGTTGGCATCAGAAAAGTGTTTATTAAGATTTTCAATATCCATTTTATTAGGAGAAGAAATGTGAGAATTTTTACCAACTCCAAGTGATTTTAAGAATTTCCATGTTCTAGTTGTGTCGCCGTTTTCGACCGATTTGTGAATGTGACGTCGTTGTGCATCTCTACACATTGTATTGCAGCGATTACGAAATTTATTGTACTTTGTACGATTGGCCTCGGATTGATCTACCTTCAATCGTGCTTTATAGAGTGCTTTCTTGGAGATCATAGCTTTTAAATCATCCCCTAGCCATG